CTTGCCTTTTTCTTTATTTCATCTTGTTCCTTCTTGCTTAAAGTTCTTTTCGCCACAGCCATCTTGCCAATGCTGAAAGACTTGAGTTTGCTCTCAAGCAGCGCCTGTCGATGTAAACAAAGAGCAGCTACGATTCAGGACAATGTTTACTACTAGCACCCAGAATGACAATTTCTATAATCAACAACACATTCAGGTAATCAGAAGCTGAGCTGGGTTTGCTCAGTGGTGTTCTGACAAAATGACAGACACTCTGACAGCTAATTTGTGCATAACTGCAAATTATGATGCTACATATACAACGAAAGCTGCAAAAGCCAGACAACATAACTGTTTAGGACTGTTTGCGTTTCGTTTACTGTAATTTTTCTTCTAAATTACAGTCTGACGTCTAAAAATTAACCAGAGGCCTAGCTGCTCGGTGTAAGCTGCAGCGGGACTGCTTGAATACAGCACGCTGAGCTGCTAACGTTACCATGACGTCTGTCCCTTAGTGAGAATATACATTAAATTTTATATTTTAAAATTCATAATTTGTGTGGTGACAACTTTAAGTTATTAGCTTTGCCTTGATGTGGTTTGTAAATAGCTACACCGACTTAGTCCCGGGGTGCATTAGCTCCATGGTTAGCCTAGCCATGCTAGCATGGATAGGTTTCGGTAGAGCGGGGTGTCACTTTTCAGTAAGCGCGCGTAGCTCTTGCGGCAGCTACTATGTTAACACCAAACGATTTCCGTGAATCTACAAAAAATACAGGTCTCACTACGATAGGAACAGCTTAGCTAACACGAGAACAAACGGTAAATTTCACCTTAGCGCTAGCTTTTTGAGAGCCAGGCGTTCGGTCCGCCATCTTTCTGTGCAACTGAAAAGGAAATCGATCACCGATAGCAGCTAAGTTGAATGCACAGGACGTACAATCGAACGTCGAGTCAGTGAGAATGTTGTGTTTGCTAAACTAGGAAAAAAAAACAATGAAGAATTTGCATTTTTTTAAAGGTATGTTAAATATGGCCTACTACAATTTCTTTTGTTTTGGAAATATGTGATTTTCACTTATATATTGTTAATTTATGGGGTTTATTTTGGGCTTTCAAGGCTGCAGCTATCTGTCTTGCTTGGAAACCTTTTTTTTCCAAGACTGTTTCCTTTCACTGAACTTTCCATTGATATAAAGTGTCAGCACCTTGTGTAAACCTTTTACACAAAGGTACCTTGGGAAAGGTACCTGTCTTGGTACCTTTCCCAAGAAAGGTACCAGTCAACTGTCAATTTAGCATTTTTTCTATCTCTGTTTTTTTTTTTTTTAAATCTTAGATTATATTAAAATTTCTTGGGAGAAAATGAGAGAATGTGAATTCACCCTTTCTTTCGGAATTAAACCAGCTTGGTGTAAATTTGGAGACTCACCTTTAGTGTGTCATATAACTCCAGCAGGTGGCGCTTTCCTTCCACCCACTTGAGATTGACGCCTCATTGTCTTTTGACGTTCGTGACGATTCGTCTTTATCATTATTAAAATGAATATTGCTCTTTTCACACACACCTCCCCCCCCCCCTTTTTTTTTTTTTTTTTTTTTTTTTTTTTTTTCTTTTCCCTTTCCCCCCCAATCCTTCTTTC